TAGGAAGTTAAATAATATTATAATAAATTATAATAAATTATGAAACATTGTATACTGGTAAATTTTGCAGCGGATTGTTATAAAAATGATTCATATTAGCCTCATACACACAAGTTTTTGTTGTGTTAAACAAACGTATTGCTATCGATTTCAATTCTTTAATCCTTTTTTATCTACTTCCTATGACACATCTTTTGAGCATATAATGCAGGCGTAAAGCGAGTTTTAAAGTAATAAATTTAGAAGTGGGCCTTATTTAGTGCCTGGGCCTTATTCGGCTCAAGTACCTTATTTCTACTTTAGTTTATCTACATTGTGACAAGATTTCGAAATGTAGGGGTATCTTCTTATTTGATGCTTCAACACTCAGTCTGACAATCAAAGTTTCAGTATTATTTCTGTTGACATCTAATTGTAATGACTTTCATAAAAAAATATACAGTATCAAATGTTACTCTTTTTTTAATTTTTAATGCATTATGAAGTTTATTAATAATGTAATTAATTTCATATATAATATTGCTCTATATATGTTTTATGATGTAATTTTTTAAATACATTGTTATTAATATATGATATAGTATTTAAAATTTTTATACCTGATGAGTCAGGCCTATAAGGAGGTCGAGTTGGTGTTGTTTCAATTGTTGATCCGCTTCCAATAGGTGATGCTTATAAAGTGATCACAAATTTATTTTAATAACACACTCATTTGTAGTTTTTGTGTATAATATACATAAACCTGACAATAAAGTTCCCAACTGTAGCAATGAAGAAACACAGATATCACACATAACAAAGTGTTGTATCAATATTTTATCTTTTAAACTTTAAAGTAATCGTTTATAACATGCATACATTTCATATATTTTTTATATAAAACCTTAAACCTTTTTTTGAAATCTATAGTTGAAATGCTGTTCCCAAAAGCTCTAAATATTTTGAAAGATAAACATTTTCAAGACATCGAGGACTTTTTAGAGGAATATGATGACTGCTCTAAACAGAATTGCAATTATAGACTTAAAAAAAAAAGTTTCGAGTATTTAAGATATACTATATGGATGTCATGGGGAACGACTTTAATTTAAAAAATACAATATAACATTTGTTATGAGATATTTGTGTTTTTTTTTTATTTCTGCAGTCCTGGAATTTTACTGCCCTGATAGCAAAACGTTAACAATTTGGGGCCAAATTGGCAGCAAACTCCATCAGATTTTGACTACAAAACCATAGCCATCTTGTGTTCCCATTTGGCTATGGATTTGTCGACAAAGCCTGTTGACAGGCTATGCCAGCAGATTGGTGGCAGAAATCGAGCAGAGCATTCTGCTCGAATCAGGTTCTGCTTTCAATCTACTCTCAATCTGCCGTCAGGTTATGCAAGACTTTGCTCGGTTTCTGCTACCAATCTGCTGGCATAGCATGTCCAGTGGGCTTTGATATATTTCTGGCAGCAATTTGCTGACAATATCAGATAATACAAATTCTGTATACAATTTAGTGCCTTTCTGCAATCAAAAATTGATAACAGGTTCTGCTCAAAATCTATCTCCGCAGGCTTTGCTATCAGGGTCAAATCATATATACCTTCATTTACATACTTCCTTCACTTGATGGAATGTTCGTGTTTGTGTATTGCGCACACACCACGGGAAAATGTAACTCTCGCCATGGTGTAATCACACCATGATGCTCGTGATGATCATGTTTGTCTCCGTTTTCATGATGTTCATGCTTGTGAAGGAAAAGTTCCACGTCCTTCCCTGGTTGAACAACGCGATAACCCCATCCGTCACTGATATAAAACGTTGTTTTTAGGTGGCCAAAGGGATCAACGTAACCGTAACATCCATAGGTAATCCCATGTAGGCCACGTATTTCGTGATGAAATTGTCCATGTGGATTGACATCGTAACCATATTTGTATGCATCTATACAATAATCAATTGTAATCGCAACTTGTTATATCTAAAGTTTGACCATATGAAAAAGTGAAGCCTATAATTTTTACATCATTTTAGGTAGCATTTTATATTAAAAATGGAACATATTAAAATTATGGACTCGCTTTATTTGTGTGTCAAACTCTTTGTTATCTAAACTCTTTTCATTATTTTTAAATCTTTTGGACTTGCCTGATTCAAAGTTTTGGCTTAAGTATTGAATTTTTTGTTTATCGCTGATGCTTAAAATCACTTCGCCATCTCGATTGGTGCTTGTTAATTCTTGAGTGAGTTGCGACATGGAAGTAGCAATCACCTGAAAAATAATTGTTTTTTTATTGTTTGCAAGACTGATAGATAAGAGATATATATAAGACAAATAGATAAACAAGATAGATAAATCGAATCTACGTACATATGTTATATAATTATTAACATTTTTTACAAAACTTTATTCAATTTCTTTATAAAATATATTTAATATATTTACTCAAAAGAATAAAGTTTTTAATAATAGCATGTGAGCTATAGAAAAAATAATTATTTCTTATGATAATTTATTCAATGAAAAAAAGAATAATATGTATAGAAATAAATAGCGAAACGGTTAGAATTGAACGAAGAAAATATTCTGTAGGGATGCATTGGATCGTAAAATTACCGGATATCAGATATCGGATATTCGGACAAAATGTAACATCGAATATCCGATATCCGATTGGATATCCGAGAAGGCAATTTTTTCGAGTCGGATATCTGACCGGATTTCGGGAAAATGTCTTAAAAAAAAACCTATAAAGAAAAAATTGTAATTTTGCAACAATGTATAAGATATTATAGCATTATGAATATACATACTTATTTTTAGAACATTTGTATAATAAAAAATCAACAATTTAATGATATCAATTATTAATTATAATATTCCCGGATATAATATTCCTGGATACTAATGATATCCGACTATCCGGTTGGATAGTAAAAAGGTGCCGGATAATACCGGATACCGAATACTTTCCAGATATCCGGTGCATCCCTATTATTCTATCCACACAGGAATTAGTGATTATCGTCATCAATGATTCTAATGACAATAAAAATATTTAAATTTCTGTTATGATTAATAAAAATGTAAAAGTATTCGTGTCTCATATGCAGACATAATATTTTTCAATGTTTATTTATAAAGCTATAATTGTTCATGCCTGTAAATTCACGTAAGCTACATTTACTACTAGTTATTATGTTATCTTTATGCAGAAGACTCTTTTTCTAATAAGAAACAGTTGTTAATCGCAATAATTTGCTTTGTCCAGGCACGTGACATTTCCAGTGAAACATGATGTAATTATCAAGTTGTGTTAAAAACAGTTGGCCTTTAATATCAGTCAGTAGAATTAAGTATTTGATGCGATCTGCAAGCGTGTATCGTGAAATATCATAGTCGGCATTTCCAGTTTCTGTAGTTAGAGCGATTTGTAATTCTCAGCTATTAATTTTCCAAACATTGCAACACGCACGTCTAAAGTATTTTAAATATAAGTTACGCTTCGACTGTGTAGACGAAAAAGAAAGAAAGGAAGAAAAAGGTATCAAAATAGGAGACAGGCAAAAAGAATTTTGTCCAGAGACTAGACAAAAATCTATTAAGCTTTGTCTTCATTTCATAATGTGTGTGTGTGTGTGTCATTTCTTGCAACTTTGTGTATGTATTATTTATTTGAAGAGTTAAGCATTAAACTTAAATGTAATATTTGCAATATTTATACATACTTATGCTTTGTTTCACACATCAATGCTTAAAATTTCCATTAACAAGTTTATCAGTCTTAAACTTAGGCTTATAATGAAATATGTATTAAATATGTTTTTAATTATATTTTTATCATGTTTATGGATGACATAAAAAAATAATATAAGTTTTTATAAACGATTTTATAAACAGACATTAATTGCTCTCAGATCTTTTTATAATAATGTACTTATTGTCTCACCGCGTTCTTATAGACTTTGACTTGATACTATTATAATTGCGATACTTCTGTAACGTTCCTGTAACGAATATTCTTATGCACAATGATTTTGTTAAATAAGGAGCTTTTTATATCATTGTTTTGGACTTAATATCAGTTTGATAACGACAAGATGCGATCAAGTGACCAATATACATCCACTAGAAGTCTGTACTTATTCTTTCATATTTTTATCTATCAGTTAGACCGTTTATAATTTAAATATATATATATATATATTTATCACTTTTGTATGTTTAACATTGAGAATGATCCGATCGGGCTCGAAACGCCGTTTGTATTATTTTTTGTTTAGTTCTTATTAATTATATTATATCTTTTATTTAAATATTGTTTTCTTATGGTTCGTAGCCCTTCTCAACACTTTTATTATTAATTTATATTAATTGAACCATATTACACGATGTAATATAAGTTTTATTTAAAAGTTAAAATAAAATCAATACTGTATGTTTAGATATGTATACCAGATGGTATACTTCTTTTAGATGGTATATTTCTTTTAGCAGAAAGTTTATTAATAATTAAAGGACCATTTTTTGAAATATTGCTATCATTTTTTGATGAGGAATATGCTTTCACTTTTTTAGGTGTGATCGATTTAGGTGTTGCTCTCTCTGTCGTTTCTGATCTCAATGAATTATCTATTTTATATAAGCGAAAGTCGAAAGCAATCAATGATTAACAGTAGAAATTCTTATTCAATTTTCAATCTGCATGAGATAATAATTTAGAAGGATTTTGCATATATTACACATACATATATCGTTCGCGAACGTGTGTGTATATTCAGTATAGTAATGCATGAAAGTAAAGATATAATTTTAAAATATAGATACATCATATTGAATTTAAAATCCCTATAAGCGCATAATATTATTTAATATGAAGTAATATTTTAGGTATATTCTTAGAATATTAAATGTAACATTTTAAGAATATTTTACTAAAATTATATAATATTACATGATATTCTCGAAATATTAATGGAAGGTTATACGTCCACTCCTGATAATATTATGTGATTATTAAAAGTAACATTTATTTAATGTTACAGTAATATTGTATAAACATTAAAGAGTATTATAACAGCATTTACTTTAATTTGTAAAACTGCTACATCTGTTCAGTATAAGTATACGTTTAAAAACTGAAAACGATTTTTGTGGTCAGTTATAGAACTGGATATGTACTTAAAATCACGTCGAAACGTTTTTTTAGCACAAGATGCAGCATAGACTGATAAGAACTTTTCGTTACTGGTTTGTGAATTCAAATTGCACAAAATTAAAAATAATTTATTAGTATTTTAATAATGTTTCAGGAATATTAAGACATAATACCTAGGGTATTATATAAGTGGACATATAACCTCTATAGAATACTCCCGTAATATTAAAAAAATATTTATGGTATTTTCGAAATATTACACTGTTAAATCTATAGTGTCAAATTTAACCTAATGTTAATCGCCATTGCTCCTACTCAATTGTATCGTTATTTTATACTAAAACAATGGTTATATTTGACATTATACAGTATCAAGTTGACACTATGTAGTGTCAAATTGACATGATACAGTGTCATATATAACTATCGTTTTGGTAAAAAATAACGATATATTTAGTAGGAGCAATGGCGACTCATGTTAGGTTAAATTTGACACTATAATAGATTTAATAGTATATAATAACATTATTTTAATTTTTTAATAATATCCATTAACATTCTAGGAACATTTTACGCTTATAGGGATTATTTCAATTTAATTGAGATCGAATTTAATTGATTGATATATATAAATTTTTTTTCAAATTTTCGGTTTATTCATGATTCGGATATTTATTTTCTCTTCACATGTATGTGCATAATATAAACGATAGTTTTATGCACTCACGTTCGCGAATTTATATGCACATCCTTTTCTGCATACAGAATATATAACGGAGAAAACGTTTTGGACTTTTGAATTTATTTGAATTTTGCGGGTAAAAGGAAATTTATTTAAATTTTACTTAACCTACTTCAAAGAGTTCAAAGTCTTCAAATTAATTGTAAGCAAGTATGGTGCATAAAAATAATTGTAGTGCTTTTTGTTTTTTATTGGAACAGGTATCTAAAAAAATTAATTAAAGAGAAAAATTTGTTTTTGATTTTAAATGCAATCATTTAAAAAATTAATTAGATAAACTTATATCAATTAATAAAAATTATGACTTAATTACATTAAATAACTAATCGCAATAAGTTATATGTTTAATGACAATTTAATTAAATAAATTTATAATGACTAACCACAATTATAAAACTAGTCAGTTTTATAATTGTTGGAACATATCAAGATCGTATCTCATGTTAAAGGTACAAGGAATCATATATATCTAATATAAAACTGTTCGTCCAGTTGAGAATATCTCAAGTTGTCAATCGTTGTAGTATTGCCTATCTAAGAAGATTTGTACGAAGAAACTTCTTATTTAATTAAATAAACTTTTTTAATTATAAATATATTATTCATATTTTTAAAATTATGCGACATTTCCATACACGATATAATTAATTTTTTAAAATTGTTATTAAATTATTATACTATTCGCAAGACATGTTACTCAAAATAATCAGTAATACTTTTATAAGAATTAAATAGAATTATATTTATAAAAATTAAATAGAATTAAAAAGAATTATGCAGCTATAAGAATAATATTATGTAACCGCTACACTAATATATCGATCATTGTATTGGAGTGAATCGACTCGGGGATAAAATTTGATATATCAGAGGTACCGAATTCGATTTCTTGCTCATCCCCTCTTACTATTCTATCCGACAAGTCTTATAGTTTAATAGGTAATCAGGATATCTACTTCTCGTAAGAGTGCCATTGACTGCTGTTGCAGAAAATTGCAGATGATCTGTCAAAAACTGTTGCCATATTCGCAACCTCCCTAAATGGTGATATAGAAATTTTACGTATTATTTATGTGAATTATCTCTCAATTTGTTACTTTTCATGCTTAAAACATTTCGGCTTCTCCACGCCATGTCATTTTAGAATTGTATTAATATTATAGATTCTAATATAATAAATCTTTTAATATATATTTTTTAATAATTATTAATATTCTCCAATAATCCATTTCATTCGGTTGTCATGCAAATATGCCACAAAAGTGGCACATATCCTGGTCGACTAAGTTAGGTTTGGCCAGGATCCACGGTCGCGATTGATGATCTCAACCGTTGTTCCACCCACGAGAAGGGAAAGTCGCGATTCCAAGA